TGGGATTGATGGTGATGATGACGATGACGAAGATAATAGCTTTAATAATAATAATAAAAGTAGTAATAATAATAAAAATAGTAATAATAAAAGTAGTAATAATAATAATAGTAATAATAGTGATGGTGATGATAACGATGATGACGAGAATGAAGGAAAGAAGGATGAAAGAAGAGGGAGGAAACGGCATCTTGGTTACCAATCACATGTCGGAATGTACGGTGGGGAAAATCAATATAATAATAATAATAATCAAAATAATAATAATCAAAATCATAATCTTAATTTTAATTACAATAATCATAATAAAAATAACAATAATAATAACAATGCGATATATATGCTAGAGGGAAGTAGAAATAAAAATAGTCATAATAATAATATTATTGCAGACCTTGGTGATGAATGCTTTAAGAACGACATCAACAACAACAACAACAACAACAACAACAACAACAATAGCAACCATAACAGCATCAACAACATCAACAACAATAGCAACAACGTCAACAACAACATCAGCCGCAGCAACAACAACAATGTTTATTTTTCCAACGTTCCTATCTTCTTCGATCAACAATTGCAGAAATTTGGAGATTCAGGACTGAGCGAATCACCAGATAAACAAAACAACAAAAACATCAACAGCAACAACAACAGTGACAACAATAATAATGACAACAACAGCAATAACATTTTCAGAAATAATAGCAAAAATAACAAGTTTTATTATCATTATTATTCTTCTTATGAGATGAGCAAGGAGGCTGAAAATGATTATATCGATATGAAACGTAGGGGAAATATTGACGAGTACAACAACAACAACAACAACAACAACAACAACATCAACAACAACATCATCATCAGCAACAACAACAAGAGTAACACTTACTCAAGTAACAACAAGATGAACAAATGCAATGACTCCATCATTAATAACATGAACTATAAAAGCAACACTGCTGATAAAAATAATTATTATGATAAGAACAATCTTACTACTACCGCTGCTGCTGCTGCTGCTGCTACTACTACTACTACTGCTACGAATAATAATAATAACAATGACAATAATGAAAATAGGTCACGTGCAAAACATTGCAACGATGATGACGTCACCAAACAAGGTCTCTACGTCACGATTATCAAAGATGGCGACGGCGATGCCGTGCGAGAATCAAAGATACAAAATATAAAATTGAAAATACAAAATGTTAAGCGCTACAGACAGAAGCTGCTCGCGAAGCAGCAAGCCATGCTTCAGCAGCTGAAGATGCAGCAACAGGAGCTGATACAGCAGCAACAACTGCTGAAAATACAGGAGCCAATGCCGCGACTTCAAGAGCAGCTAACACCAAACCAACAACACATACAGCAGCCGCTTCATAGTCATCGCCAACAACGTTATCTTCATTACCATCTTCAGCAATATAGACCACTACCAGCTCTGCCGTCCGTCGTAAAATCATCTAAACTCCTCTACACAACTCATTCCGCAAACAGTAAACAAACCGGTACATCCCTAATTACGTCATACAATCTTAAAAATGAAACCGAAACCACAAAGTCTCTTAGAAAATTTCCTACCCACCGAGTAGCCTCAACTATTAATGACAAATACCAAACCGATACTGGGATTTTCCAAAAAGAATTTGGCGGGAAATTGCCAGAAAGAACAATGCATATTTACGATAATATACCGTTCGACATGGGGGTTTCAAGATTTTCGCATAATTTAAGAAAAAATTTAAATTCATCAGCCGGTAAAATTAGTAATTTTTCTAACTGTTTTAATGGAAGTTTAAACACTGTTACTACTGCTGCTGCAGCTACCACAACAACTACTACTGCTACTACTACTGTTACTACCATTGTTTTTGCTGCTTCTATTGCTTCTGCTACTACTACTAATAATAATACTATTACTACTGCTGCTGCTACTACAACTACTACTAATAATAATACTAATAATAACGCAAGTTGTGAGTTTTGTTGTTGTTGTTGCTGCTGCTTATGTTGCGACAGCAAAGCGTTAGATAGAAATACAAATGAGAACCACTTAACAACATCAACAACCGAGCCAACGAAACATCCAACTCTTCCACATTATTCAAGGTCAAAAATCTGCCCACAACAGCAGCAGCAGAGAGTGAACAACAAAAACAACAACACAAGCAACAACATCCGCGCCAACACCACTACCTCCAACGGCAACAACACAAACAACAATGACATCACCAGTGATGACGTCAACCTCAACAAAGGCATTGACGACAACGAAAAGCATCGAAGTCGATGTCGCAAAGTTTACCGCGACGCTGTGGCGATAAAATTTTTGATAAAAAAGTACATGAGACGTTTCGGCCAAAAGTCAAATCGGTCTAGGGTGCAGAAAGAATGGCGGATAGTTTCCCGCGTCATGGATCGAATCTTCTTCCTGTTTTACTTGATATTTATAGTCTTTTCTTTGGCTACTAAGTTGCCAAAGAACCAGGAATGAATGACGATGTGATGGTGGGTGATGATGAACGTGATGATTGGGACGATTGTGTTCAAGATGACGATAATGGTGATTAAAACACTTTATAATTACAATTAACAATAATAATTGGTTGTTATTATTTCTATTACAATTAATTCATTTATTGATAACGTCATCATCATTTTCTAGCGCTTTATTCAAATTAAAATGAAAGTGATATAATTGACTAAACCACGGTTCTCATAACAATAATAACAATAAATAATAACATTATTATTAATTATTATTTCTATTATTATTATTATTTAAAACTGAATAATTGATTATTGATTAATTATATACAATCACAACTTTGTAAGAAAGCAATATATTTACAATGTATGATAACTAATGGAAAAAAAATTATACGTACATTAGTGGAGTTTTAAATCAATCTAACTATCCATCATTAATTAATTTATTCCTTCGTTCATTCATTTATTCATTCATTCATCCATTCATTCATCCATTCATTCATTCCATCGTTTGAGTTAACTCTGGAAAAATTCGTTGGAAACATTGTCCTATGTGTCAGTTTAACAGTCTTCTATCCATCCGCCATTCATTCATTCGCTCACTCATTCATTCATTTATATATTTAATCATTCATTCGTTCATTCATTCATTCATTCATTCATTCATTCATTCATCCCATCCTTCCAGTTTGCTGTGGATAACTTCACTGAGGAAATTATCCAGTGTGTCGGTCCTACAATCTTCCATCTCCACTATCGACAGGTAGGGCATGAAAACCTGGCGAGAAAAAAATAATTATTATGGTAATTATTAATTATGATAAATTAGGAATAATTATAGTTAAGAATTAGTGGCAATAATTAGATTAACAATAATAATAATTATACCGCCACCAATAATATTAACAATAATAATAATAATAGTATTAATAATTTATGATATATTTTTCATTTTTTGGGTTTAACTTTTGACGGAACGCAACGCAGGCGCACGTACCTTCAAAACCTTACAGACGTTCTTACGTAAGTTTTCTAATTTATTTTTAGCAGGACAAGAAGCGCCGCATAATTGGTTATTTTGTTGTTGCTGATGATTATACGGATGATGACGTGTGGAGTGATGATGGGGATGTTGTTGTTGTTGATGATGTTGTTGTTGCTGTTGTTGTTGCTGTTGTTGTTGTTGCTGCTGCTGCTGCAGCTGATCATTCTCAATTTTTATTTGTGTTGTTGACCATGATGGTAGTAATGATGACGATGGTGATGACGATGATGATCCTGGTGGAGATGATGATAATAGTGATACTGGCGATGATGATGTTGACGATGGTGATGATGATAGTACTGTAGCAACAACATTGTTCTTGTTGTCATTTACACTGTAAATGTTACCGTCATTACATTCGTTGTTGTTGTTGTTGTTGCTGTTGTTGTTGACGATCTTATTGTAGCTGGAAAAATTATTATAATTAAAATAATTATAATGGTTATTATTATTATTGTTGTTGTTGTTATTATTGTTATTATTATTGGTATCATCATTGGTGTCGGTAGATTTTGGCTCATTGTTGATGTAATTATCGGTAATGTTGGGTAAGATATTATTGTTATTATTATTATTGTTGTTGTTGATGTTGTTGTCGTTGTTGTTGTTGTTGACGCCATATATAGTTTTGTTGGGATCGAAAATTAAATAATTGCCTTCTTCCGATACATGATACCCTGACGAAATCACCGTTTCGTTATTATTATTATTATTGTTATTAGTAGTAGTAGTATTAGTAGCAGTAGTAGTAGTAGTAGTAGTAGCGACAGCAGTAGTAGTAGTAGTAGCGACAGCAGTAGTAGTAGTATTTTTACTATCGACACCAACGCCCATGATAGCTGAAGAGGCATTGACAAGGTTATTATCATTATAATTATAATTATAATAATAATTATTATTATTGCAATTATCATTATCATAATTACCATTAATGGCATTAGTAATAGTATGGTTATTAATCATAAGCTCATTAGGAGTAATGTTAGTAAATAAATTGTTGGCGGTAGTAGTTGTGGTAGAAATAGTAGCAGCAACAGCATTAGTTGTAGTAGTTGTAGTAGAAGTAGTAGCAGCAGCAGTAGTTGAAGTAGTTGTAGTAGAAGCTGCAGTAGTTGTAGTAGAAGTAATAGCAGCAGCAGTGGTTGTAGTAGTTGTATTAATAATAATATTAGTATTATTATAATTTGTATTTGTAACTTTAGTAATGTGTATTGTATTTGTGATTTGTAATGGTCTATTCATCATTATTACTGATTTATTTGCTTTAGTTGTGGCATCTGAGATGTTGGAGTTAATGTTGGGACTGTTGGGGAAATTGGGAAAAGCATTTTTGCTATTAGGGGTTTTCATGCTTTTTGGTTCTTTTTTATGTAAACTAGAGTTGTTATTGTTGTGTGTGTTGTTGTTAATGTTGTTGATGTTATAGTTGTTGATGTTGTTGTTGTTGCTGTTGTAATTATTGATGTTGTTGGTGTTTTGCATGAGATTTATTCTCGATTTTAATGATAGGTCGGTAGGTTGTTGTTGCTCATACAGAAAATGTTGTTGTTGTTGAAGTTGTTGTTGTTGTTGTTGTTGCCGATGTAGTTGTTTCTGAGGTTGTTTTCTCGTGAGAGAATGGTGATAATCTTTCATTGTTAAGTCCAAAGGAACGCTATCATTGTTGTTGTTGTTGATGTTGCTGATGATGTTGTTGTTGTTGTTGTTGATGTTGCTGATGATGTTGTTGTTGTTGTTGTTGATGTTGTTGGTGCTTACGTCATAGTCATCATCGTCGTTGTCATCTTCAATATCAACATCAATTAGAATGTCATCGTCATCGTAAGTATCGCTCGCGACCGAATCATTTGAACGTTTGTTGATGACGTTGTTGTTGATGTTGTTGACGTTGTTGTCGTTGTTGCTGTTATTAATGACGTAATAATCGTGTTGTTGGTAACATTCCGGTGAGCTATCCAGCCTTATGACGTCATCCATAAGTTGTCTTTTTGTTATTGATGTTATTGTATTTGTTGAGTTGCAAGTTTCGCTGTTGATGTTGTTGCTATTGTTGTTGCTGTTGTTGTTTTTGTTGTTAATATTCATGTTATTTATCATATTGTTGATACTGGCGCTATAGAGATGTTTGTTGTTGTTGTTGTTGTTGATGTTGCTGTTATTGATGTTGTTGTTGTTGATGTTGTTGATGTTGCTAACAATTACTCCGCCACCGAAGTACTTATTGCTACCACCGCTGCCACTACTACAACTACTACCGTTACTACTATTACTATTATTATTGACGACGCCAAAGTTATGGTCATTTTTACCGTTATTAGCAACATTACCATTGTTAACGAAAGTAGTAGTAGAAGTAGTGGCATTACTAGCAGCTGTGGTAGTGGTGAATGTAGTAGCGGCAGTGGCGTCAGTGTAGAGAAATGCGTTATTCAATGGCGCTACGCGTTTATCCATGCGATATAAATTCATGTTCGACAGATGACGACTGCGAATGTGGGCTTTTAGCAGGTGGCCTTCCGTGAATAAATTATTAAAATTTGAGGTGTGAATAGAAGATTAACATAATTAAGGGTATAAATAAACTATTATAATTGAGGCTATGAATAAATTATTATAATTAGACGTGTGGGTGAATTATTATAATTAGACGTGTGAGTGAATTATTATAATAAAGGGTATGAATAAGTTAATTCGTGACGGAATATGGATATATTAGACAAATAATGATATGGATTTTACAGATTTTTGAACTTAATTTTTATACTCAATATACAATAGTGACTGGTTAGCTAACTAAATACAAAATAAGCATTTTTAAAACTGTTATAACGATTAGCGTTACCACAGCGGGCTCTCTTTGCATTCGAACTAGGTCAGTCTGACAGACTTCGTAGCCTTCTCGAATTTATAGTGAAGGAAAATACTGTTATATAAGGCATATACCTTGGGTATATCTGTGGCCACATTCTCCACAGAAATACGGTCGTTCCCCTGATTGTAAATAATAATTATTATCATTATTTATATATATATATATATATGTAATAATAATTTATACACACACAAACACATACACACACACACACACACAAATGCAAACGTGCACATGCAGAGGGATTGAATTACATTCACAATTTTACAATACAATTTATATAAAGTATAATTATAAATATATAATTATAATTATATAGTTATATATTATATATATATATATATATATATATACATATGTGAAAAAATACAAGGATATAATAAAATAAAAATAATAATAGCAATAATAACAACAATAATAAACAATAATATAAACTACACTAATAACAATAATAATAACAATAATAGCAATAACA